TGGATAGCGGTCTTACTTGAGACAAAGTCTCTTTGTCGAACTCGTCGAGCAGATCGGAGTTGGTACCAACCAGCTGCATCATCAATTCCTTAATAACATCTTTGGGGTTGAATTGAATTGAAACGCATACCCAAAGGCGGCAGTCAAAACATCTGGCTACTGCTATGTGATTGTACACTTGTCTCGCGAGGTATGACTTTCCAATGCCGCCCATGCCTACGATGGTGGCAATGGAAAGCTCCTATGTGCTCTCCTACATAACAAATTCTTCGAGCAATTTTTCGGTGTCGGTATCCAAGCCCACCACGTATTTGTTCTGCTGCCAGCAGGCCAATCGTCTTTCCCACTCCGCCACACTTGGTCGGCTGGTGCTAAATGATGCCCCGTGATCACCATGATTCTGGATCCCGTAAGCCTCGCGGCTTTTCTTGATATTCTCGAGCCTACCCTGGATTAAGTCAATCTCTTTCCCAATTTTGTAGCGCTTAATGGCCGTCGATAGGAACAAAGCGGACTTCCTCAGTAACCCGCTTCTTCCTGGGATATCGATATTGAGAACGAACATGTCGATTATATCTTCTACATCTTGAGCCACATCCCTGATTTCCGAAATCCAGTTGCGCATTCGCTCATCAGTGGCTTCTTTATCGGACGCATCTATCAAAAAACTTTGCATCCTCTTTAATTCTTCTTTCAAGAATTGAACCCGTCCCTTCACGCCTCGCAAATATTCTGCCTTACTGATAAGCACATCATGCAGCGTTCCCAAAGCAAAAGAAAGTGCCGCATCCGCCATATCTCAAATAAGATTTCGGTTTTTTTCTGCTAGTCGCGAAGATAAATCAAATTCGAGGTTGAATATAATAGGATTTTCAACACTTAAGGGGAACGAGCAGAAATACGAAGAGGGTTCTCAACACAGCAGAAATACAAATAGAACCAATTTATCCGAGAAGATTGAGAGCAGATATATTCCTGCACATAAGATAGGAAAAGTGTCAGCTTCATTTTTCCAACGGAGCTGCTAAACGGTACCATTTGTGCACAAGAAAAATACTATGATTTAGAAAATCTCTGGTTTACAAACGCTACACAGGTTCAAAGGGAACCAAAACACTACAACAGCGCTCGAATCCATAGCGATTAATCAAAACCCCTACAACATCGCTCGAATTCATAGCGATTGATCAAAACCCTATAACAGCGCTCGAATCCATAGCGATTAATCAAAACCCCTACAACATCGCTCGAATTCATAGCGATTGATCAAAACCCTATAACAGCGACTCAAATTCACAGCAATTGATCAAAACCCTACAACATCGCTCGAATTCATAGCGATTGATCAAAACCCTATAACAGCGACTCAAATTCACAGCAATTGATCAAAACCCTATAACAGCGACTCAAATTCACAGCAATTGATCAAAACCTTATAACAGCGACTCAAATTCACAGCAATTGATCAAAACCCTATAACAGCGACTCAAATTCACAGCAATTGATCAAAACCCTAGACACGGCCACGGGCCGGTTCGGGCCGGTTCGGACCGGTTCACGGTTCACATTTTCCGGAACCGGAACCGGCCCGTGGCGTGCACGGTTCACCGGGCCGGGTCGGCCCGCCGGTTCGGGCCGGTTCACGGGCCTATCCGGGCCGGTTCCGGGTCGGCCCGGAAATTTTGATTTTTTTTTTTTTGTTTTTTTTTTTTTTTGAAATATTTAATGAATAAGTAAATTAAAAGAAATACTTTTAAATAGATAAAGGAAAAGGAAATAAATGAAAAGTCAATTTAGAAGCACAAGTTTGAAATATTTGATGAATAAGTAAATTATAGGAAAAATTGGGGTGTGAGGGTATTTAAAGGAAAAATTGGGGGGGTTTGGGGGGGAAAAAAATTCAAAAAAAAGCAAATTTGGGGTGTGAGGGTATTTATAGGAAAAATTGGGGGGGGGGGGAATTCAAAAAAATTCAAAAAAAAAGTAAATAACGGCCGGTTCACCCGGGCCGGTTCACCGGGCCGGTTCACCCGGTGAACCGGCCGTTATTCACTTTTTTTGAATTTTTTTGATTTTTTTTTTTTTTAAATCCGGGTAAACCGGGTTCACGGTTCACCAATTCTAAGAACCGGGCCCGTCCCGGGTAGGACGGGCCGGTTCACGGTTCCGGGCCGGTTCACACGGTCAACGGGCCAGTTTGGGCCGTCAACGGGCCGGTTCGGGCCGGTTCCGGGCCTAAAACCGGCCCATGGCCGTGTCTACGAGTCCTCACAGAAATATGATTATCTCTCTCTTCTTTATTGTTTATTTTATTAATGTGTTAATGTGTTTTTTTTTAATTAATGTTTGATATAGATTGTATATAAAAATTGTTAATATAACGACTAATAAAATGGAACATGTGAAGTATGACGGAAGAATGTGTTGAGTATATCATATTTCTATTATTAATTTTAGGGGTGAGAAAAAAAACCGAAAAAACGAAAAACCGAACCGAAAAACCGAGCCGTTTTAAACCGTACCGTATAGCAAATCACATGTACGGTTTTTTTATTTTTGAAATACCGAATTATTCGGTTCGGTATGGTGGAAAGGTAAAAAACCGAACCGAAAAACCGAACCGAACCGAAACTATAAAATGACTTCATTTTATATAATATATGTATTATTTTACCCTAATATTTATTTTCTATTTTTCAATTATTTGTCTCATTCTAAGCATTTGTTCATAATTAATTGAGACATTGTATTTTATTTATCTAGTAATTAAAAATTTACTTGAGTTCATGGTTTTAATAATGTAGTAGATGAAAGTAGGAAAAAAAAATGAAGCATAATAAATCATCTATAAATTACGTTAAGTCCTATGAAATTAAAGATTTTATATTTTCATTGCATTAGTAAGTTGTGAAAGTAATTGTAATTGTATTCTTTTGTTTGTACAACTTGAATATATAGTTACGCTTGAACCGAAAAATAACTTAAACCGAACCGAAAAAAACCCGAAACCGAACCGAAACCGAAAGAAACCAAACCGATAAAAAACCGACATACACGGTTTTTAATTTTACAAAAACCGATATATTCGGTTCGGTTCGGTTTTTGGCTAAAACCAAACCGAACCGACCCGTGCACACCCCTAATTAATTTCCTTCGATACTCTATTATCTCTTGGTTTAAGCCAAGAGAGCTCGAAAATATTCTAAGGCAACAAGGCCTCAACGGCACTCCTTATCGACCCTTTCTTGGAGACGTGAAGAATATGATGAGACTCAACGAAACAGATAAACAAAAAACAATCAATCTCTCAGAAGATGCATCACCGCACGTTTTCGGATATTACTATCGGACTGTTGCTAAGTACGGTACGCACTGGGGGAACATTTAAGGGGCATGGGGGGCCGTTGACCCCCCAAGAAAAAAAAAATTTAGATATTTGGTACTAAATTTTTTGAATATTACTTTTGACCCCCCAAAGTTTTTGTAAATATTTATCTTGACCCATTATTTTTTTTGTTTTTTCTCCAAAATCTTATATAAATTATAGATAAAATAATCATATTTAATATAAAATATAAAATAAGATAGTTAAAACTTGTATTATTTTAAATAAAATTTATGAATATTACTTATTTTCGAATTTTTTTTCATCTAACGCCTTAAAAATAAAAGATGAGATCGTGCCATGAATCTCCGAAATATTAAGTGCAGCTATTATTAGAATAATTTGAATTAATTTAGATTTTTTTGTGATGATTAAAATATGATATATATATATATATATATATATATATATATATATATATATATATATATATATATATATATATATATGATATTTTAATTAAAAATTAGTTATATAAACTTATTTTTTGAACCCCAAAATTTTAGTTAGCCCCCCTTACATTTTAATCCTGGTTCCGCCCCTGACGGTACGTAACAATAATTAATATTCCTGTTATTTATTATCCTATTTGGGAAAATTACACTTTTCAACCCTCAAGTTTATACTAATTCCACATTAGGTCCCTCTTGTTTCAATAATTTAACATTTTTTGTCATTTCCGTCATTTTACCGTTAACATGTAGGGATGGGCACACACTTGATTCCGTTAGTAATAACCGAAAATTGACGGAAGCGACTGAAAGGGTTGAATTTATGAAACATGAGGAACCAAATGTGTTTTTTTGTAAACATGAGGGACTAAATGTGAAATCAGTGCAAACTTGAGGGATCAAAAGTGAATTTTTCCCTATTATATATACTCGATTTTCTTCTTATTATTACTATTAATTTTTTTTTTCAGGTAAGAATTCTTTCATGTGGTTCGGTCCGTGGCCGAGATTGAACGTTGCGGATCCGGAGCTAATAAAGGAGATTCTAAGTAGACCGGATGCTTTTCAACAGCCACTTCCGGAAACAGGCAAGATTCTTACGGGCGGGATCGTGTTTCTTCAAGACGAAAAATGGGGGTGTGTGTAATTTACCCTTATTTTTATTATTATTAGATATCTTCCGACAAAACTAAACAGGAAACTGAAAGCAATGAACAATGAACTCCAATTGTTGCTAAAGGGTATAGTCGACAAAAGACAAAAAGCCATGGAAAGGGGTGAAGCCATGCCTAATGACTTGTTAGGCGCTCTTATGGAATCGAATTCAAGGTTCATTAATGAAGACAATGACGGAAACCAGAATGTTGTCGGGATGAGTATCGATGACGTCATCGACGAGTGCAAATTTTTCTACTTTGCGGGTTCAAAAACGACGGCTAGTTTGCTCGTGTGGGCTATGGTGTTGTTGTGCCAAAATCCCGATTGGCAAACCCGAGCAAGAGAAGAGGTCGATCGAGTTTTCGGGAATGAAGAGCCATCTTTTGAAAGCTTAACTCACCTCAAAACTGTAAGATCTTCGTTGAATATATATATATTAGGGCAAATTGCACGTCACCCCCTATAAATTGCTAATTTTCACACTTTACCCCCTCAAAATTCTAAAAAGCGAATGCGCTTCCCTTTAAAATGTTACTCTTGTTGAACACTACCCCGATTGCGAAATTCGGATGGATTATTCGCCGGAACTGAGTTCTTATATTGCACGTTGCCCCTTTAAATGTTTTTTTTTTCCTACGTTGTCCCTTGAAAATATTATTTTTCTGCACGTTGCTCCTTTAAAATATTACTTTTTTTGCACAATGGCCATCGAAAATTGGTTTTTGAGTCAAACTGCAACTAAAATAATATTTTGAAGGGCGGTTATGCCATTTTCTATTTCTTAGGGGGAAAGTGCGAACATTAAATTCTTTTACAGGGTGAAATGCATTTTGTCCTATATATTATTGCCTTAGCATTTACACGAGAATTTTGTTACTGCTATTATTCGTTCGGCTTATTCACATAGATTGTTTCCATGATTATTCATGCATTCATTATTACAGGTGACGATGATTCTGCAAGAATCACTAAGGTTGTACCCACCGGCGCCTCTAATGACACGAGGCTCTACGAAGACAGTGAAACTAGGAAATATGACTATTCCATCAGGGGTACATATGACATTGCTAATAGGCATACTCCACCGCGACCCCGATTTTTGGGGAGACGATGCAAACGAGTTCAATCCTCATAGATTCTCTAAAGGAGTTTCGAACGCGGCAAATACTCAATCGGCTACATGCCCTTTGGTGCAGGTCAAAGAGTCTGCATCGGTCAAAACTTGGTCTTGATCGAAGCAAAAATTGCTCTAGCCATGATTCTACAAAGCTTCTTGTTCGAGCTTCCACCGTCATACTTACATGCTCCTTTCAATGATATTAATTTGTTACCAATATATGGAGCACCTATGATTTTGCGCTCATTATAAATAAAGGAATAGGATTAGGATCAGAATCAGAATCAGAATCAGAATCAGGTTCCTAAGCAGGTTCATTTTAATGCTGGTGATAAGACAATGTGTGTTTTTCATTTTCACTTATGTGGAATCAAATGATTTGTGTACTCAACTTGTACTTCAATAAAATGGAAGTAATGTCTTTTGTTTGGACCAATGATCATTCTGTAAACATACATTATATCATGAAATTGGTAAGAAAACTGTTTAATTTTTTTTATTTTTTTTTTTATTACTTTCACATGACTTAAGATTGAGAGAGTATTTTAGTCGAATTAATAAAAATATTTTACAACCCGAACATTCTAAAAGTTGTTTCTTGAAAATCATATGTTAAATCTAAATACTAACATGGTTTTTTTAGGGCAAATTAAGAGAACCCCTTGAGGTAAGGTTTAATTACGAGAAGCCCCTCCATGTTTGTATAATTACGGAAAAAACCCCTCTGATCTGAGTTTGACTGTGCATTCTAACATAACGGGTGTTTTCTCTGTTTTACCCTTAAGTAATATGAACTAAAATAAAATAAAATATTATATTGAAACCTTACAATATAACCACTTATGAATGTTAACCACTGTAGTTAACCCCCTCAAGCAGTAACAACAACGGCTATGGTTATGGGTGGGGGACGGAAGAAGATGAACATTTTTTTTTTTAACAATAATTTACTTATGTTTAATATGTTTTTTGCATAATCAATTTTATTGTAAAAAAATTAGAAACATGTAAACGAAATAAAATTTACAAAACAAATTAAAACTTTTAATGTTATAATATATTTATTTTATTTTATTTTATTTTTAATAATTATAAAACATACAATACATAATGTTAATAAAAAAAATTAAAAAAAACTTTGTTATAAAATTTCGTGATTATAGAGTTTTTTAAATATATTATAATTCACAGCATAAGTAAATTGGGCAAATGGCAAAAAGGACATGTCAAGGAACTTAAATGCACATTCTTCCACAAAAAAAAAAACAGTCTTGAAATAAATCCATACCCA